AAGTTTAGTATTTGTTTCACTTTAATACCCGCCGTTAAAAACATTAGTTTTTGTTTCATTTTAGTACCATCGTTCAAATTTACCTTTAAGTTTTGAAGAAATTAAAAGTTTAAATACTAAAACGGACCAAAACTGATAGCATGTGTACTAAAAACGTTGAGTTTTTAACAACAGTTACTAAAATGAAATGAGAACTAGACGTTAGGCATGGTTTTTGAAAAAAAATGAAAGTTTAGGTACTAAAACGAACCTAAATTGATAATTTATGTATTAAATGCATAGTTTATCCTCTTTTATCGGTGTTATAGTTTGTGATTAGAAATTTATTTTATATGACATAAAAACTTTATAATGCAATTCATTTAGTGAAGAAATAGATTAGAATAAAAATAAAGATTTTTAATTTTTTTTCTATCTTTTAATTTGTAGTTGTCTATAATAAAATTCTTCTTCTTTTTTATGATTTTTTAATGTAAATATATATGTTGTTGTCTTTTTTTTAATTTATCTTCCAATAATTTACTTTTATAGTTTATTTATAATAAATAATTGGATATACAAATGAGTTAGAGATATTAGGGTTAATACCTTTTAATCAATGTTATTAAAACCGGACCAGACCGGCCGGTTCGATCGGTTGAACCGTGAATCGGTGGCCTGTCCGGTCCGGTTAACTCCCAAAACCGGATTAGTACAGAACCGGTTGATAACCGGGAAAACTGGGGTGAACCGGCTGAAAATCGGCAAAACCGGTTTGAACTGTCGGTTCACTTTTTTTCTTTTAAAAAAATTAAACCAAACAACGTCGTTTGTTCAACGAGCCGAGTCAAATTCGAGTATTGCTGAGCTCGACTCGAACTTGAAAACTTTAGAAGTAAGCTCAACTCGACTCAAAAACTCACGAGCTAAAAATTATCAACTCGAAATATAATATTAAAACTTGAAATTGAAAAGGCTCGAACTCAAAAAAATATTTAGAAGTTCGATTGAAGCCTAAAATTTGAGCTCAATTGAAGCGAAAGAATAGTTCACTTTGTGCTCACCAAAAGGCTCCATGATTTTGAATGTCAAATTACCTCTATTATATAGAAGTAAGTTGGATGCTCTTCTATGTTTCTTAGCCATGTGGGATTGTTTTGTTATCATATTTTTACTCTTTAAACTTTTGGAATACTCTTCTATGTTTCTTAGCCATGTGGGATTGTTTTTTTAAAACAATTAAACCAAATGACATCATTTGTTATGATTTTTTTAAACCCCAATTTTATTTTTTTGATTATAGTTATATAATTATATTTATTATTTAATATGTTTTACCTTAAATATTATGTTGTAGTTGATTTGAATCGTTTTGTTTCACTTGATTTTATGGTTTTTCATTTATACATGTTATGACTTGTGATATTTTTATACCGTTTAATATTGTAAACTTAAAAAAAGTGTTATATATATTAATATTGTTTTGAATATTATGTAAAATTAAAAAAAAATTATTTTATATAAAATCCGGTTCAACCACGGTTGAATCCGGTTGAACCAGTGAACCAGTGAACCAATACCTTCACCGGTTCAATGTCCGGTCTGATTTTGAAAACATTGCCTTTTACACATACACACTCAAAAAGCCATATCTTAGTCGAAAATTGAATTCTAGATGTTAAGGTGCTTTTGATGAAAAAGTTGGGTGGGTGGAGAAGTTAAACAAATTCACAATTCAAATTTTCTAAACCAATTAAGAAAAAATAGAGTCCCACACCCAAACATTCTCCATAGGCCCTTACCCTACATTTGCCCTTTTCTAGGATGGAATTATTTTGATTGGATTTTGCCAAGTAGAGAATTAATACCATGTATGTATGTATATATGGGATATGATTCAATTATACTGTGTAAAACTCTTTTGTTTTACATCTTTTAGGACCATTGGATGAGAGAAATTAAAGGTTGAGATTAACAATAAAAAATCCGAAGGTATTTAGTGGGGGGGGGACAATGAGTTAATCTCATCCTTTAATTTCTCTATATTTTTACTCATCCAATGATCTTAAATTTGTGTTAAACTTTTTAGTTTTATACGGATTTAGAACCGTTGGATGAGTGAAAATAAATGACTAATATTAACGGTAGAAAATGAGAAGATATTCGCTTGAAAAAAAAGAGTTAATCTCAATCGTCTATTTTCATTCATCTAACGATCCTAAATATGTGTGAAGCTAAATATTTATGAATATGCCATTGAATGTGAGTAAATGTCGCAGTGACTAAATTGTAACTAACCAACAACATAAGTGATTGAAATATAACAATTATAAGTTAGTAGGAGTGCTTAATTGCTTATCGAGCGAGTCGATGGCGAGTTGGGCAATGTTCGACTCATGCACGTTAAAAAATTTTGTTGTTCGACTCGACTCGACTCGTTTCTCGTTAAGTTTGTTACTCGTTAAGCTCGGTGCTCATTGCTCGCCTCGTTGTTCGTTAAGCTCACCGAAATTTTTAACTTATTTTCTTAACTATAGGTAAAATATACTAATATTATATAGAACTTTATATAAACATAAATTAATAAATTTAACCAAAAAATCTATCAAAAAAATGTATGAATTATTTTTAAAGTCTAAACTTCAAAGTAACAATTCATAAATACATTAAACTAATAAATAAGGTTCGTTTTTTGAGTGTATGAAATAATTTTTTAACATAACTACTAAAAAATTATATAAAAAAATTAACGAGATGCTCGCCGAACTTATCGAGTCGACCTGAACTTTTCTCGACTCAATTTGTTAAAGTCTCGAGTCGAGCTCGAATTCGAATCGAGTCAATCTAAGTCAAACTTTTACCGAATTTTGACCGAATCAAATTCGAATTACTCACGAACTGCTCAACTCATTAATTACTCCTAAGTTGGACGGTCAACATCTAAAAAAACAAAAACGACTTTTACTATAGTTTATTCCAAATAATATTAGGTATAATCCGAACAAAAAACATACTACTATTACATAACCTAAATGTTTTAAGATTTATATAATATAGTTTATTCCAAATAATATTAGGTATAATCCGAACAAAAAACATACTACTATTACATAACCCGATCGAGTTGGATTTTTTTTTAAAAAGTTAGGGTTCAGGTTGGGTCGAGTTTTTTTAATATGATGTTCGGGTCGGGTCGGGTTCGGGTTTAGGGTAAAAAATACCCAACCCAACTCAACCCAAGCTGAAAAAAATATATAATTTTACCTTATATATTTAGGAATAATTACAATAGTACCCCTCTATATAATATTTTTTTCAATTAAGTCATTGTTTTTGTTGAATAAAAATATTTTTTTATTATTTCGGGTTGGGTCGGGTTTTTAAATTATATATCGGGTCGGGTGAAAACTTGTTTTGATTGAGTCGGGTCGGATATCGGGTGGATGATTTCTTGTTCTCGGGTCGAGTCGGGTGGACAAAAAACCCGACTCATTAAATAATCTAGGGGTAAAAAAAGAGTATTGGAAATTAAGTCGAACTACTTTCTAAACATATTGGTTTGGGTGGGTTGCTTCTCTTTTTGACCTAAACAAAAGTGGGTCAAATCCACTTGATCCGTAGTACTAATGAGGTCTCACCTTTTAGGTGGTCGTATCAACCTAAAACAATAGGACCTTCAATGTAATGAATGCCGTGAATGTACTATCTCAATTACCAATCCCATGGTGCCAATATAACTTTCTTGTCTTATTTAATATAGAAACAATGTTTAAATTTTAAGATAAAATAAATTCAGTGATCGAAAATATTTTATAATATAAGATTTTAATCAATCTTTTTTGGATTTACAAAAATAACCAACAAATTCGTAACCCGGACTACTATTTCGCAACATGGTTTCCAAATTCGCAACGCGAACATGAAAATTTTCGCAACGTTAATTACCGATATAGGTAAACACAACTATCGCAACGCGAATTTCGTAAATTGAATTCGTCAATTTCGCAACTCAATTACCTATATAGGTAAACACGGTGTAAAACAACCGGTAAAAAAATCCGAATTCGACAATTTGAAAACTGAGTTGCGAATTTGGCAAATTCGTGTTGCGAAGTGAAAACTCAGTTTTCAAATTGTCGAATTCAGTTTTTTGACCGAATTTTTTTCAACCGTGTTTTCCTATACCGGTAGTTAAGTTACGAAATTGGCGAATTCGATTTGCGAAATTCGCGTTGCGATAGTTGTGTTTATCTATATTGGTAATTAGCATTACGAAAACGGAATTCGTGTTGCGATAGTTGTGTTTACATATGTCGGTAATTAGCGTTGTGAAAACGGTTGCGATAGTTGTGTTTACCTATATCGGTAATTAGCGTTGCGAAAATTTCCATGTTTACGTTGCGAATTTGGAAACTGTGTTGCGAAATAGGAGTTGGCGTTGCGATTTTGTTAGTTATTTTTTCAAATTCAAAAAATATTGGTTAAAATCGTATATTATAAAGTATTTTCGGTCACTAAAATTATTTTCTCTTGTTTAAATAATGTAGACGCTTTATGTTTCGTAAATTAATTTTTATTAGTTATTAATAACGTACGTATTTTGTAGATGTAATTAATCAAAAATGAATTCTATAGGAAAAACATCATCTTCGTTTAGTATTGAAATCACTCAAAAGATTGATCAAATAATACATATTTTTTTATAATTTAGGATGATTACGATGTATTATATGTTCAGAATTTTTTTTAATAATTAACAACGTAAACATACCTGAGGACGCAGTTATTTAAAGTTGAAAAATAACATTTTTTTAATATGTGAGACCATTTGGTCTAATGAAACAAAAAGACTAAACCTTCTATACAATGATTAAAGTTTAAATCTTTACATAATAAATAAAACAAATTAGATTAAAGGATTATTGAATATCCAATGGCAAATCACTCATAAACCCTGGTATACAGCATTCAAATACCATCACCCCCTTCATTTCAAACATCCACACCTCTCTCTCTCCTCTCAACCCTGTCATTTTCCCGTCTTTTAATTCTCTACCCAAAACTGAAACGAACTCGAAAACCCCATTTTTCAAATGCTCAAGGAGAATCCCAGTTTCAGCAGTTGAAACTCCGAAAGGCAGAAAAACGAAGGTCGAAACTTTATCCTGCAATGGTAGCAGAAGCTTGGATACTCAAAATGGGAAACCAGGTAAGCTCCAATCTCAAACATGCATTCCTCCTCGACCCTTCTTCCAAAAAGAACAACAACCCGACACCCAAAAACCACGAAACTGTCGGTATCTTGTCTTTCGAAGTCGCCAATGTGATGTCCAAATCCATCCACCTCCACAAATCCCTGTCCGAGCCCGGGCTCTCCAAGCTTAAATCCGAGACCCTAAACTCCCAAGGCATCTCCCTTTTGATTTCCTCGGATGAGAATCATCTTCTCGCCCTTACTTTAGCTGAAAAGCTCGACGAGTTAAACTGGGTCGCCCATGTTGTCTCTATACTAGGCAAGAAATGTAGTGAACCTGCTTTACTAGGTTTCGAGCATGTCTATGGTGATGTCTCGAGTGGGGTTATTGATGTTAGAGAATTGGGGTTTTTAGTCAAAGATATGGATGGGATGGTTAAGAGAATGGAAAGCTTTGTTAATTCCACTGCTAATTTGTATACTGAAATGGAGGTTTTGAATGAATTAGAACAGGCTAGTAAGAAGTTTCAAGTGAACCAACATGAGGAAAGCAAGAGAGCTTTCGAGCAAAAATTGATTTGGCAGCGACAAGATGTAAGGCATCTTAAGAATGTTTCACTTTGGAACCAGACATTTGATAAGGTTGTCGAGTTGTTGGCTCGGACTGTTTGTACTATTTTTGCTAGGATTCTTGCTGGTTTTGGGGAGTCTGCTTTGGAAAAGGATGGTGTCTTTGGGAGAGTTAATGGCAGTTTTCGTGATCGAGGGGAAGTCGTCGTTTCGAAGCTGTTGAATCGGGGTCTTAGTAAGAGTAGTAGTGTTGGGAGTGGTCAGCTAGGGAATGTGATGGAGAAGAGGGGAGTGAGTTTGAAGCATAGGGGAATCGATTCTCGAAAGGGTGAGCTCGGGTTGTTTCGGGTTGAGGATTTCGGTTTCCATTGTGGGACTAGTCCTGGAAGGTTTTTAACACATTGCCTTAGTTTGAATTCTTCTGTTTCAAGGTACGGTGATGACGACAACGATGATAATGGAAGCGCTGATCGTGATGATCAACGTAGCCAGATTTCGGGATGCTGTAGTGCTGCGAACGATGGGCTGAAGAGAGAGGGGCGGAATGCGTCCCCATTTCTTCAGTCCCAACTTAGTGTTCCTTTGAATGGTGATCACAGACAGTTCAAGAATGGTGTGTTGAATAATGCACAATTTGGTCCTAAAAGTAGGTTAGCTGTATATGCTTCACCCTCCACTGTGGGAGGCTCTGCTCTTGCCTTGCATTATGCCAATGTAATAATCGTTATCGAGAAGTTACAGCGCTACCCTCATTTGGTCGGCGAAGAAGCTCGAGACGATCTCTATCAGATGTTGCCTACAAGTTTGAGACTGTCGTTGAGGACTAATCTCAAGTCCTATGTCAAGAACTTGGCCATATATGATGCTCCATTGGCTCACGATTGGAAAGAAACTCTGGAAGGGATTCTAAGCTGGCTCGCCCCCTTGGCACACAACATGATCCGATGGCAAAGTGAAAGGAATTTCGGGCAGCAGCAAATCGGTGCTCGGACAAACATTCTCCTCCTCCAGACATTGTATTTCGCTGATAGAGAAAAGACCGAAGCAGCTATCTGTGAACTTCTTGTCGGGTTGAATTATACATGTCGTTACGAACATCAGCAGAACACTCTGCTGGACTGCGCAAGCAGTTTCGATTTCGAGGACTGCATGGAATGGCAAATGAAATACGGAAATGCGTACATCGATTGATGATTACGAATGTCTAAAAGCATACAAAAACCTGTAGAGACCAGCAGAGTATTCACCGCCAAAGGTCCAACATACGCATCGAAAAGCTTTCCCGTAATCGAATCGACTCAATGAACGTATTCACCTCCGAAGGTATACTTCTTTCGTATATAATTCCAATCGATTTATATGTTTCTCTGTACATTCATTACAAGTTCCGTCTCTTTCGCATGCAAAATGAAAAGCATCATTGGTTTTGAGCACTCCTGAAATCTATATGGTTTCTCTTTTATCATTGCATGTTGACTGGTATAATGAGAAGCTAACATTCATCGTTTGAAGTGTCACCTACATTGTTCCCTTTTGGATGACAGCTGAGGACATCCACTTATTAGTTTTCCGGCGTGGCGGCACGCCCGTTTCCGATGTTGTTCCGACCATTCTTTCTTCTTGAAGTACTTTGTGTCTGATCTTGGAAATACAAAAGCAACTATTGAATAAACTTGTATGATACTTGCGGGAAAATCCAAGTAACATAGCATTTGCAGTGGCCGATTTCGAACATCAGTAATAATTCGAAATTTCATAAATTTAACTTGGTTCGAAAAAATTTAAAATAGAATTTGAATGATAAATATAATTTGTCTATTTAATTAACTCAATTAAACTTGACTCGGTCGAATATCCAGTCCTATTAACTCCTTTTTAGGTACATTTTTTGCCAAATTTTAATCACATGTTTCTCTACCACTATAGAACTCTAATAACAAATGTAATTTTTTTTTATAATTTAGTCCCTCAACTTTGTATTTTATTTAATTTGATTTTATTACTGCAATTTTTTTTATTACAAATTATTTCTTTTTATCTATTCTTTGACTTGTCTATACTCTCATTGATAATTTTTTCTGTACTCTCATTGATAATTTTTTCTCAAATTACATTTTTAAAAAAATAAAATAAAATGGTATAACCATCAGTATCTGATCTATTGATCGACTAATCTAGATCGGGTACTACAGAGGCAAGGACGACTCTACCAACTCGGTTTGTTCTATTTGCAATCGCCTGGATTCGAACCCCTGACTTTGCTTAAAGGATATAGTGTCTCATCTCACTAGAACAACTGGTTAGAGAAAATTGTTAAGTTGAATACATATATGTTTCTCCATATTCATGCTCATATATTATACGGTTAGAGAAATATATATGTATATTCTATATGCTTAGAGAAAGTTGTTAAGTTGAATCAATCCGCACTATAATATTATAAACATTTACAATTAAATTTAAACAAAAAACATAAAACATTGACTCGACTTGACTTGACTATAAAAAATAAATCAAATAAGGTATAAATCCTAAAATAGTTATTGTCAACTCGATTAATTTTAATTTTTTGACTTAACTCAATTCAATCAAATAATTATCGTTAATTAGAAATAAGATTTTCAAGATGAAATAGTTTTAGTTTGGATAGCTTCGCTTCTCCATTGGTTTTGTTGTTTATTGCTCTTATCTATGGTATGGGGATGTCTAAGGTACGACAACCTTAATATTTTATAGTCTAAGATACGACAGTCTTAATATTTTATTGTCTAAGGTACGACATCCGGATAATACACATCATTTATCAATATCCGTATTCACCTTCAATTTGTTAGAATGTATAATTCGAATTATGTTATAGTCTGAAAAGTTTTTAGTGGAATAAATAAATTGAGAGAAAAATTACAATATGTGGTGGATGTTAGGGTGTCTAATCGATTAATTAAGTCAGTGACATAATTATATTAATCAAAATTTAATTAATTGATTTTTCTTTAACCGTTAACTGAATCTTTTTTAAATTTATTAATCGGATCGAATAAAGTCTGATTATCTCACGACTTTCTGAATCCTACTCATGTATCACTTTAATGTCCAACTCCTGGAACATACTACATGGCCAGGTGACGAAGAGCCGACATCGAGGCGTCAAACCTCGTCGTCGATGTGGGCTCTTGGGAAAGATTGGTCGATTTTCGAATTAATCGAAAGTTACCATATTTTTAAGTAGATTAATTTGAGTTTAATTTAGGTAATTTTTCATTTTTGTTAAAATTTAACTCAGATTCGAAAATTTAACATTAGATCTTAATTTTTAAAGAATCTAAAATTAATTGAATTAATCGATAATCAAACTATTGATAATTTCTCAACGTCAACTAATCTAACATATAATTATCCCATCAATTAATTGAACTAAAATTTAATTTAATCGATTAATTTAATTAAAATCGAATAACGAAGGCCTCTAATTAATGCGAAGGCTCTCAAGTCATTCCCATATTTAATCTAATTAAACTATGTGGGAAAAAACAAAAAGGAATTGGGGCATGAGACGACGACACGCTCCCCCACGCGCACGTTACCCCCATGAAACCCTAATTTCCAAAGCCCTCTAAAAGTTAATTTACCCATTAAAATTAATGATTTATATAGTTTCAAAATAAAATAAAAATAATACCAACAACCAATTGGTCTAGTTGGATGAGATACTAGGTCCTTTAAGTAAGAAGTTTGAATCATGTCGTTTGCGAATGGAGCAAACTGAGTTGGAATGTCGCCCTCGCATCTGGAATACCCAATCTGAATTAGTCGGTTAATAGATCGGATATCAGTGATTAATTCAAAAAAATATAATAATTTATATAAATTTCATGTTTCTTTGTGATCTATATTAATCTATATATTACATCTCTTATAGTTTCATTTATTAAACACAATTATTTAATTTAATGATGTTATAATTGTCTGTTTCTTTACTATCGATGTGTTATACTAATACATCGAAATGTAAAATCAATTTTTTTTCAAAATAAATGAATTTTTTTAAAATAAAAGTTAACAAAATGTGAAATTAAGTACCCTAAATTCTAGTGTAATGTTTATTTTTTTTTCGATGCTTTTTATTTTATTTGACTTGGTGATATTTAGTATAATATATAGATATAAATATAAGTGAAATAAAAAGTATTACTTCAATTGATAAAGTGCCGACCATCTGGGGATATTAAATATCTAGGTTTGAGCTTCATCAAACATAAAATATGCATTTATGGGTTCTTAATTAATTTTTTATTCTGGTTTAAATTTTATGATATAAAAATCATATCTAAATTTATTTAAAACTAAATCAGAATAGATGTTTGATTATCGGTAGGAATGTATGTAAAAATTTGACTAGCGATAATCGATCGATTGATAAAATTGAATATTGTTCTAAAAAAAATAAATACTATTAATAAGATATATGGGGCAAACATATGTTGTAATATTTGACGAGTGTTGGTACAAGAGGTTGAAATTCAGGAATTTGAGGTTATAAGACCAAGTTCAAATTCTACCACCGATATTCTTGGTGAGCAATATGTAAATTCCTATGTAAATCTCAATTGAGTCTTAGGTATACCCTGGCTCTGTACCGGGAGAGCCACTCCCGACCTATATTATAACCAGAAGGATTTATAATTTTACTTACTTTTTATAGATACAACTGTCGGAGTTTAGGGACCTCTAGAAAAAACACTTTTTCTTTCATCGTTGAGATAACATAATCGTGAATACACTTTATAGATATAATTGTTCGAATTATACTTCGAATTAAAGAACTATTTTTAGGCATATATGTTCATACTTTGTAACGATTAACTATTATTTTTTTTATCAATTTATTAGACACATGGAGCCTGTACCTCCCTCAAATCAAAGCAGAACACACAGTTTCAACCTCGTAAGAAAGAAAAGAACATTTGATCCATTTGTTCCAAGTGTTTCAAATAGTTTTTTTCCTCTATTTTTTTCCCTAAAGAATGCTTCAAATTTTATATCTTGGTGCTTTAGTTTATTCTTTCTCTTTCCTTTTCTCTCTTTCTTCTCTCTCCTGTGTTTGATGCTACCTTTGTTTTTCTTAAAACATTTCTGGGTCGTTGATCTTCAACAGAGAGATGAGTTGGTTCTCCTTTTTATGTTCTTCTTCTCACTTCACTTGATTCCCAGTCCGGAATTGCATCTAATTCTCTTTTCTTACATCTCTCGTCTTATATTCTCTTGTTGTCTCAAACCCTTTAATGGAAATTGTTTGGACAAAGAGGAAAAAATCGACCTAGTACTTCTGTTTTTTGTTGCTGTTCGGTTTAGTTTACTCGAGCTTCGAGTTCAATTTGCTATGGCGATTCCTTGGTGGGCTAATCAGTTGAATCTACAAGCCATGGACCATGCCGGCAATTCAGCTGCCTTGAACAAACGTGACCTAGAGATTTCAATCAACGACATGGGCAAAAACACGAGTAACGCCGACGATGACGACGACGATAGGGACACCGGCGATGAACCGAAAGAGGGGGATGTCGAGATTGGTAACCGAAGGCCTAGAGGCCGACCACCGGGCTCCAAGAACAAGCCTAAACCACCCATTTTTGTCACTAGGGATAGCCCTAACGCGCTCCGTAGTCATGTCATGGAAGTTGCGAGTGGCACCGATGTAGCCGAAAGCATAGCTCAATTCGCCCGGAGACGGAAACGCGGCGTCTGCGTGCTTCGTGGCAGCGGCTCGGTCGTGAACGTTACGCTTAGACAACCAGCTGCACCCGGAGCGGTGGTTGCTCTCCAAGGGAGGTTCGAAATCTTGTCTTTGACTGGAGCTTTCCTTCCTGGACCGGCACTACCGGGCTCGACAGGGCTTACCGTATACCTAGCCGGTGGTCAAGGGCAAGTTGTAGGCGGAAGTGTCGTCGGTTCACTTGTGGCAGCAGGGCCTGTTATGGTCATTGCAGCAACGTTTGCCAACGCAACATACGAAAGATTGCCGGTAGAAGACGAAGAGGAAGCTGCCAAAGGCGGTCCCCACGGCGATCAGATCCAAAACGGAGCAACCACCTCTCAGCCGCCGACAATCAGAAGCGGCAACGACCCACAGGCAGGTCTGCTTGATCCATCATCACTTCCCATATACAATTTGCCCCCCAATTTAGTCCCCAATGGAGGTCAATTAGGGCATGAGGCCTATGCTTGGGCACATGGGCGACCACCTTACTAATATGTAAGAGATTGAAACCTAATTTCATACATCTTTAAAAAATGTTTGTGTTTTGTACTTAAATATTTCCTCTAAATACAAAGCAAAAAACCTAGGTGATCTCATTTCATGCCATGCTTTTATGTTTGATTTTTTAGTTTGGTAGACATGGACGTTTTTTTTATTAATACGTAAGTACAATATAATATATGTTTAAATATAATTCTTATTTATTTAACTTCGAACACTCACACCCCTAGTATTTTTAGTATTCGAACTTGGAATTTATAAGAGTAACAACAATTCTTTTACCCATGAGGTCGCTCGGTTTGTGCTATTAGGAGAAGTTCAATTCATGTAAAACTCTATTTTTTTTCTTTCGGGCATATTAAGATCATAGGAAACCGAGTTTGAGTAGATTTCTTTCCATACAAATTTCCTTTGTAAACAAGAAATTGATACTAAAATTAGAATTCAAAAGTAAATTCATTAAGATTTAAATCATGTTTAGCTACAAATATTCTTGTACACTTTTTCAACATAATGATTTTTCTCCTCTCTTTCCTATTATTTTTCCCTTAAAATAATTTTTCTACATTAAATCTTTGACTTTTTTTATTTTACACATATTATTATAAATTATTTTACTGACTAATATATATATATACACACACAATTTGTTGTAAATTAAAATCTGTCTAAACATACCATTTTTGGAGCGTTTGGTTCACGGAATGTAAGATTACCAGTGGGAATAAAAGATTATCAGGGAATAGGATTACTGGGAATGTTGTATTTTGTGTTTGGTTGATTTAGCAGGAATGCAAGATTATCGTGTTTATTTAAAGGAATAAAAGATTATTGGAATGTATATTTGACCAAATTATCCTTTTTATATATTTGTTTTTTATCAAGTTAGAAAATATTTATATATTTTCTTTAAAAAATTTAAATTCATAAAATTTATATAATTGTTTTTACAAAATTGAAAATATAAAAAGGTTTAATGAAAGGGTAAAATTTTATTTTAACTCCTGAACTTCATATAAAATTTTAATTATATATTTTTTTGAAAATCTAAAATAGTTTAAGGATAAATTTGTAATTTAACATTCGTAGAATTTTTATTATTCAATGACAGAATATGTATATTTTTGGAAAAAAATTAAGGGCATTTTAGTCCAAAACGCCGGTAATCCAACAATACCTAAGGAAAGGGAGGTAATGACATTCCCGGAAATATACCTAAAAAAATTCACTATTGGTAATGTAAGATTACCGGGAATGATATTCCCAGTCAACCAAACGGGAGATTGTAGATTCTATTTCCATAAAAATCTCACATTCCCCCAACCAAACACATCACTATCACCAGACTGCAAAAGCAGAAAATTAATTTTTAAATTGGCATGCATTAATTCCCTGAATGGAGCATTGCATACCGTTTTATTATATGAATTATCTAATATTCGAACTACGTACTGGTTGATTGATTCGAATTAATTACTAAAAATCTTATTGTAAGTGTAATTATTATAATTCAATTTATTTTAATTAAAATATTTTTATTTTAATTTTAAACTTTTAAAAGATTTAACATCTTATTTTACTAAAAATCAATGTAAATTAATAGTCATACATATTTTAATATATTAGAGGAATAGAAAACATATAAGAAGATTAGTAAAAAATATTTAAATTATATCTTTTTTTTTTCTATTTGAGTGTCTAAATTTTTTGGGTCAATGTGTGTGTTTAGCGTTCTAAACTTTAGACTTTAAGTACATATACCGTAACTGTCGTTAAAAAATACCTTCAACCACTCATGATGCGACACATGACATGTGCATAAAATTTTAAAAATTTAATTAGGAAAACTTAAAATAATAATTATTTTTTAAAAAAAAATCTAAAATATTTCTAAAATCTTAAAAACGTCCCAATTTTATTACTGATGACATTCGAAATGATGTAATTTCATGATATTAATATATTTTGGTACTATTTTTTCCTTGATCGGTTTAGAAGGGTTTTTAATGAGGCGCGCTGACCTTGAAAAAAATAAAGCATCAATCTCACTCGTCGATTATTTCATGTCGCTATCTGCTGCATACCCACCTGTCGTTCGACCGTCACACGTAGCTTAAACCCTCTAAATCCATAAATTTAAACCCTAAATTTCTAAATCCCAACACACATCCATCCCAATCGACAGGTGAGTGATCTGTAGTGAGTGGTTTATCAATAATGAAATTGAAGGTCTTTAAGTATTTGTTTTGGAAAATATGAAAAAGTTTGAGTGTGTGTTTTTTTTTTGAAAATTTATAAATTAAAAAATTAAAAATATATATAAAATCAGATCACATATCAAATATTGATTGATTGTCTATTTTTAATAGATTTTTTTAACTATCCTGACAAACCAATAATTAATTTTTTTTAATTTTAGGGTAAGCACAATGAGTTTGTTCAAAAATAGATATCAACCTTTTACATTAAACGTTCATACTTTAACATCTATGGTGTTCGAACTTAAATTCTTAAGAAATAATAGAATTTTTTACTACGGATGTCTCATTCGTGCATAAACAAATAAATTAAGTTAACCCGAAATAATGCGTAAAAACTTAAATAAAAAAATAAATATATATATATATATAGTTAGTTAGTTAGAATTTTTTTTATATTAATGCTATAAAAAAGGCATGAAACTTTCATTGATTTAGACTTCACCCCATCCACAACTTTATTGTTTTTATTTATTTATTTATTTAATTTATTTGTTTCCTTTCATCATATTCGATAAATGCATGCAACTTGAGAGGGAAAAAGGATTTCTCTTTTTTCTTCCTTCCACTAAAATTTTAATTATTAAAAAATTGTAATGGAAAAAAGAGGAAATCATTTTGATTTGATTTTGTAATGACTTTTGCTCAATTGCACCATCACGCGATTTAATGAGCAGTCTAGAGGTATGTAAATCCGGGTATCCAGATTTTTGGGTATTTGATTTTTAGGTATTTTGAATTTTCGGGTCGACGATTTTTCGGTTCGTTTCTTGATTCGGATATTACGGGTACTCGGTAATCAGGTATCTGAATTTTGCGGGTACCCGATACCTGGTTTTTAATTTTTTATTTTCAAATTATTAATTTAAAAAAATATATACACAAATTTAAATGTTCGAAACTTCGAATTACATACTCTAATATCTGAACATAAAATATAATAATCCATAATATAAATAATTCATTATATTTTATATAATTATATATAAAAAATAAAAAAAATAAAAACTAACCGGATACCCGGAAAAACTAGATTTTGTAACCCGGGCCCGATCCGGAAAATGTCGGGCCGGGTACCCGACCCGGTCGGGTAATTTTTTTTTAAAGAATTACCTGATTTTTTTAGATGCGGGTCGGCGAGACGGTCAACCGGATCAGGTAATTTTGCACATCCCTATGAACACCGCCCAATTTCCTCAACTCACCCAACTCTCTCTTCTATCAAACCAACTCATTGCTTCGCTTGATTTTGACATCTAAATTATTTTGATTAAAGCATTTTAGTGGAGCGATGCAAACCTTTTACTTGGGATAAATACATTATTAATTTTTATAAAATTATATAACGACATGTCTTGACTGTTTCCGATAAATATCAAAATCAAGAATATTTTATTTTTATCTTTATTTATTTTAAATAAATTTAATTTCTTTATTTCCTCTGATTTTGAATTTCGTCTGGATTGTTACTCGGACTAACAAAAGTTTGCAATTATTTGAAAGAGAACCATTGACTTAGTCTTGGGGCTAATAAAATGCAGACCACCCATAAATTAGCTGAATTGATTTAATGACAATTAAATTTAATATATATGGTTTGTTTTAGGTACATGCTCGAAATTCGTAATAGCTTATTCCAATAATATTTTTTCTAGTATGATCTTGGTTTCCAAGTTTGATCTCCCATCATATCATATGTGAGTTTCCAACATATCTATATATATAGATATATATATATCAATTTGGGTAAACTAAAAATGATTAAACTCCAAGACCAAAGCAACAGTCCAGATTGAAGCCGATTGAGAAGCCAGAGAACATCAGTACCTATATCAAGATTTTGGACCAGAACTTGTCCAAACTGAACAAAGCCTTAAAATAAAATAAAATAAAATAAATAAGAACTTGAACACCACAAAAGTCTCGTCAACGTCTACTTTGGATTCCTGTTTCTTATCTGTAAATAATGCAGCTTCTGCTTCACCAACACAACGGCAGATCAAATAACAAGCTTTAGAATTCACTTCAGCTATGATCTCCAACAACCCTTTTTCCCCATCACCTCAAACATGGCCGAGGCTTTTGCAGTCGAAGTCGCAGCAACTGTGTTGGGAAAGCTGAGCAGTGCTGCCTTCCAGGAACTTGCTCCATCTGGGGTGTCCCAGACGACCTCGATAAGCTTAAGGACGTGCTTGTGGCTTTCCAAGCTGTGCTGAAGGATGCTGAAGAGCAACAGATGCATAACCGGGAGATTACCTTTTGGCTACGAAAGTTTGAAGATGCTTGCTATCAATTGAAGATCTGTTCGACGATGTTGAGATTGAAGCTGAGAAGGAAGGTCCTTGAACTTGGAAGCACTGGAAGAAGGTACGACATTTCTTTTCTAGATCCAATCCATTAGCGTTTCGTTTTCGTATGGCTCGGAATAAAAAAGGCAAAAGAATGTTGGATGAGATCGCACTAACAAGTCCAAATTTAATCTCCTTGAGAACGTCCGTTAAAAATGTGATTCATGCTGACAGGGAAACCTACTCCTTTGTCAAGACATCTAATGTGATCGGTAGAGAAGAAGATGAAAAAACATCACACATTTCTTATGAATCCAACTGAGGGGGAAGAATCCCTGTCCTTCCTATGTTGGAATCGGTGGTATAGGGAAAACTTCCCTTGCCCAATTGGTGTTTAACAGTGAAAGAGTAAAGAGGCATTTTGAATCGAGAATTTGGGTGTGTGTTGCTGAAGATT